TCAGTGTATGTCCATGTGTCGGTGTCTGTGTCTGTGTCTGTGTATGTGCATGTCTGTGTGTCCGTCCGTGTGTGTGTGACATGTATGTGCATGTGTGTATGTGTGTGTGTGTACATCTGTGTATGTGTCTGTGTGTGTGTCTGTGTGTCTCTGTGTGTGTGCATCTGTGTGTGTGCATCTGTGTATGTGTCTGTGTGTCTGTTTGTGTCTGTGTTCGTCCGTGTGTGTGTGTGCATCTGTGTATGTGTCTGTGTGTGTCTGTCTGTGTGTGTCTGTCTGTGCGTGTGTATGTCCGTGTGGCTTCTCCACATCAGCGCCCTGAGTTCGAGCGCTCAGTACCGCAGCACAAACTCCTGTCCGTGTGTCTGTGTATCTGTATGTCCGTGTGTGTATGTATATGTCTGTGTATGTGTCCGTGTCAGTGTATGTCCGTGTGTCTGTGTCTTTGTGTATGTCTGTGTATGTGCATGTCCGTGTGTCCGTTCGTGTGTGTGTGACATGTATGTGTGTCTGTGTATGTCCGTGTGTCTCTGTATGTATATGTGTATGTAAGTATGTCTGTGTATGTCCGTGTACCTGTGTTTGTGTTTGTGTTTGTGTTTGTGTATGTCTGTGTCTGTGTTTGTGTGTGTATGTAAGTGTGTATGTGTGTGTGTATGTCTGTGTCTGTGTTTGTGTCTGTGTCTGTATCTGTGTATGTCCGTGTGTCTGTGTCTGTGTGTGTGTATGTAAGTGTGTCTGTGTATGTTCGTGTGCTTGTGTATGTCCGTGTGTATGTCCATGTGTCACAAAAAGTCATAGAATGTCACAAACACGGGAAGCATGATAGTCACTTCCCGTCACTGCCGCAGACGTCATGAGTGTGTTTTAGCTGGGAGTGTGCATGCTGTAGGAAGAAGAAAACAAAAAGAGGGAGAGCAGGACATGAAAAATAGGAGCAAGAAAGTGAGGGCAGGCTTGAGTTATAAGGTACGCAGGCAACGATACCTTCGTTGACGAAAGCAACGGCGTACACTGTAGACTGAATGCTTGGGAAGATTCAAATTTTGGTTGGAGAATTCTGCTTCGGTGGTTCAACCGTGCGGTGCATAAGACAACACAAACAGACAAAGAATTAGTGAACAATGTGTCACACACACTCACACAAACTCTACGACATACACAAACTCTTGGTCATTGATGTGTTATGAACATGATTGGCTACTGCGGTTTTGCCAGCCCTCACTCACATAGACTCCCGTACACGCTCATACATGGAGAGAAGGAAGGGGAGAGGAAGTAGACTACCACAACGCGGAGAAAAGAAAACGCAGTGGCCGGCATACAGAAGCAAAGTGACAGAATACACAGTACAGCCTGACATTAAGCAGAATGACGTCACCACCATCAGACTGCAGAAAAGGAGTAGATGTCGTTGACCACAAAACAGAATCAATCATTATAACCGGCGCTGTCTGCGCTCATCATCAACAACACGAATTGCGAAGTTCAGGTAAGAACAAGTCCTCTCCACATATTCTCTTTGCTGTGTATCGAAACAATGGCAGAAGTCTTCACACCATGACACACAAGTGTGTTCACAACATGCATCGTCAACAACCAGAATGACCACAAGTCTTCATTGTTATGAACTTGGTTGCCTGACGAATTTTATCGCCACTCACACACAGACAATCTCACACATGCCCATACATGCATAAGAGAAGCGGAGAGAGGAGACAGAGTCCACACTGCACACACGTGAAAATAAGCAGCGGAAGACAGACATGCACTGGTGGGGAGAAGACACGCAGTGTTTCTCACTCTCTGACACAACTCCCAACAACCAATCACAAGTAAGAACCTGCGAAGATCACAATTGGAAAGGTCACTGATGATGAGCGACTCATACAATTACCGTAACAGAGTTTGTTCCAGTGTCTCGCCACACTCATAACTGACACGCCACTCTTTATCCTACACCCAGTTAGTAGCGCTGCATCAGAACAGTCTCCCAGAGGCCAGCGCCAACCACCCTGATGAAGAACAGGTCATGCGATGAAGTCTTCAGTGCCGATGGACAACTCTGACGAAGGAATAGGCAGCTATGGCTGCCACCACCCACGAACCACCACTGTAGAGCATCGGTCCAGCCCGGCCATACGCAGATACCCCCAGGGGTAGATGCGTTGAGCATGCCTGAGCTATGGCAGACTCAGATGTGGCCGGCTAGGGCTGCTGTCACGGTGCGTCTCAGGATGCCGCCTACAGACCAATACCGCCACCAACTTGCTTGGCTTCTCCAACGCTGTGCGGCGAGAAATGAACTGCGAAAAGTCCTCAACCAGTGGGCCTATCCTATCTATAGAGTCTCTAGACCTAGACCGGACTGACTGACTGACCCGTACCGTTGCTGTTTCGGACTCTTGGCCTCTACCTGACCCGGCTACATGCTATAGGACCGTCTAGCAGCATAGGCCACTTAGGGCTTGTCTGTCCTAGGGGTAGCCCGGGCCCGCTATAAGCAGTTAGGGTAGCTGTAGAAATTCGGTTTGTACCGGGCCTGTATTTTCCCGGATTTAGAGATCTGTCCCTCACGAATTTCCTTACAGGCAGGTCTCTCGGTTAGCCCTCAGCCAAAATGAATTTACGAATCTAACCCTTTGGGTTAGTGTACAGCCTCGCAGTCAATCAGGTCATGCAGCACACAGTTGCACAGCTCATGCAGCACACAGTTGCACAACACACAACACATAGCATACAGCAGCTCATGCAGCACACAGCACGTAGCAACTCACACACAGCACACACACAGCACACAGCACACAGCTGCTCATGCAGCAGACAACACACAACACACAGCAGCTCATGCAGCACACAGTACACAGTACACAGCACACAGCAACTCATGCAACACACAACAACTCATGCAGGTTCGGCAGTACGCAGCTCATGCAGCATACAGCAGGATAGCCAGACCGTTGTTGGCCCCATACACAGACAACACACGTCGTGCACTGGCGACAGTACACAGCACACAGCACACTACAATACATAACAGACAACACACAACACACTACAGTACAGCCTCTGTGCGCCAGCGCAGGCTGCAGAAAACAGCAAGTCAGCAACAACGTGCAACAGTCAACACCGCACCTACACACGCATACACATTATATTTGTGTGTCTGCGAACTGGTCTCAGTGCACTCTTCACTGTGTTCTTATTTCATGCTTTTCTTTGTTGCATTGCCTTTGCGCGACACTCCTTTCCTCTTCGACGACCCCGCTAAAGTGTCACCGCCTTTGCGAGTTGCTGCTGTCTTCTGAGACACCCCCTTCCCCCTCTGCGTTTCTCTCTCCACCTGCCTTGCAACATTCATTGGCCGTAGCTTTTCCACTCTCTTCTCCTCGTCGATAATGCCTTCATATTTGTATTCCCAGCGAGCCTTGGCCAAGTTATCAACCAGCCTCAGGTCCTTCAGCTGGATCGTCACCCTCTTGCAGTGGATAGCAATGATGTTTGTTCTCTCGAAATGGTTGATGAGATATGCTTCAGCCGCTTCCAGCAACGCACGTATGGCGTTCATCTGAAACCCTATAGATTGCCCTGGTGCGATTTCTTTCTCGACGACCTCGCGCACGACCCTCATGAACGGCCTCAAAGCGATGCACAAGTGAGTAGATCATTGGAGTTGCCGAATTTCTGCCAATGCTGTCATCCCTGCGCGGCGCCTGCGCTTTGGAACTGGGGCAGCGGCTGCTTTGGAAGTCTGGCCTCGATCTGGGACATCTTTATCTTTGCCTTTTGCTTTTGTGGAACTCCCGAGTCTACGAGGCGGCCTATATGTGCACTGCTTCTTCTTCTTCTCTGCCCTCCCTGTCACGTGCTCCGCAGGGGTGTCACCATCGTCGGGTTTTGCATTAGAATATCCCCCATCATTTGCTGTTTTCGGGCCGTCGACCTCAGTTGGCAAATTTGAAATTTCCTGTTGCTGCTGTGTTGTTGGTTGTGCATTCGATGCAGCACGAGCGTCATCATCACCCACGTATTGAATGTGTCGCAACAGTCCATCAATGTACGTGAGCTGGAAAGGGACACCCAGAGGGTCTCTGAATCTCGTGCACATCTGTTCACCATGGTCATATGTCATGGGACAGACGACAGGGACCCACCCAAAAAGTGATGTGCACCCGTGTCTGCGTCGAATGCCCTCCAAAAACATGTCATCCGTCGAGGGCCGTGCTTGCTCGGTGCACGAGTCTTCCACGATCGACCACATCGCCTGGTCATTATGGGAGTCATATCCCATGCACACCATCTGTCGTTCTTCCTCCCTTATCTTCTCCCAGCAACGCTGCGYGTGTTCCTCCAGCAATCCCCGGTCCTTCACATGAGGATTGCAAATGGAGACACGTGTCACCACCAMSAA